CCTTGTCCCGCAGGTCAGCGCCGGCCACCGCGGCCCCCCGCGCCTGAAGGAGCGGTGAGTGCCCGGGGGCTGCGGGGACACCATGCTTTCCGGGGGGGCGGGGGTCTTTCTGGGGTGTCCTGGGGCTCTCCAGGGGTGTCTTTGGGTTTCTCCGGGGTGCCTCAGGTCTATCCAGGGGTGCCTTGGGTCTTTTGGGGTGCCTCAGGTCGATCCAAGGGTGCCTTGGGGCTCTCCAGGGGTGTCTTTGGGGCTCTCCGGGGTGCCTCAGGTCTATCCAGGGGTGCCTTAAGTCTTTCTGGGGTGCCTTCAGTCTCTTCAGGGGTGTCTTGGTTCTTCTGGGGGTGTTTTGGGTCTATCCATGGGTGCCTCAAGTCTATCCAGGGGTGCCTTGGGTCTGTCCAGAGGGGCCTCGAGTCTATATGGGGTGCGTCTAGTTTATCCAGGGGGGCCTTAGGTCTCCCCAGAGGTGTTTTGGGTCTTTCCAGGGTGCCTCAAATCTATCCAGGGGGTCTCGGGTCTCCCCAAGATGCCTCACGTCTATCTCGGGGTGCCTCGAGTCTATCTGGGGTGCATCAAGTGTCTCCACAGGGCCTTTAGGCTTCTCCAGGGGGCCTCAAGTCTCCCCCGGGTGGGCCTGGGTCTCTCCAGGGGGCTGGATCCTATCCGCGGTGCCTCAGGTCTCTCCTGGGGTCCCCCCCAGGGCAGCCCCCGGTCTGTCCAAGTGCCTCGATTCTCATGGCAGCCTGGTCTGTGGAGGGTGGAAACTAGTCGTGGCCTGTCTCCACATATGCTTGCAACAAGCACCAATTTTACCCATGGTTCTCTCTGAAGAGCTTTAAAAAGATGCATTTTTTCTGTGCAGAAAATCATCTGCCTCTTTCCAACTCTCTGTAGGACAAAGCTCAGTCTAGGTGACATACTTAGGAAAGATGTCGAGAGACTCTATGGAGTGAACATTTGGATGCTTATCTTGCTGGGATCCTATGACCCCAGCTGACTTCCTGCCCCTTGGCAGGGGGCTGGACCCAACGATCTTCCGGGTCCCTTCCAGCCCGAATGTCTATGAAATCTATGAAACTGTAAATACGTTGCTGACTTGCGACCGTATTTCTAGGCAAATGCAAGCAGCTGCCACGTAGGTAGAAGATGTAGCCAGCAGACAACACAGCAAATGTAGAGTCATGGTTAGAGGGGGAGGGAGAGGGTGGTCAACCTTGCCAAGTCCTTTCCTCCCTCCAGCCAAGACTTTGTGTGACCCCAAGGGCAAGGCGTGCATTCATGGCAGGGCAGCTTGGGTTGAGTGTGCGATGTGTCTGTTTTACAGAGAGCCGAGAGCTTGCATCCGATTCAAATGCGCGCTCACAAACACCATCTTAGACGTTCTTCGCCAGAGACCTGGATGGGTTGAAGTGAAAGAGTAAGCTCCAGACTCCTTCCCTTTGTGGCTGGGGTCTCTCTCTCTCTCTAGGTACCACATCCAAACAAGACGTTGGGGACCACGGTCTTCCACAAACCTCTTCTCTCTGAGGCGTTTTCCAATGTCGATGCCTTCATCCATTTAGATAGACTGTAAAAGGATGAACGTATCGACTGGGATAGCCTTTCTGGTTTTCTGGCTGTATTCAAGTGCACCTGCCCCGTTTGCAGTGGGGCGTTAACACAAGTCCTCAACCATTGGTGCTGGACTGTGTTGCCCCGCTCCTGTGGACTAGGTCGGCTGCGTTCAGAGCCCTTTTATCAAGTAGAGGCTGATTGATTGCGTTGTTGAAGCTGGCTGACCCTGTTTGCAGAACAAGTGATCTCCACAGTGCTTCGAGGAAGAGAAGATGTTTTTGACCCCTATTGTTAGACGTGGCTGGAAAATAACAGTGCAGACTGTCACTCGGCTAATCTGCCTCATTCCTTCGCTGGTTTATTATTGCAGCCATTCCTCCTGTCTCGAGGCTTTTCTTCTTCTGCTGATTATCTGGGTTTAAAAGACTAGAGACAGCTAACTAATTTCTCAGCTTTAGCTGACATTAATTCACTTGCCGCTAATCGGTGACACTTTAAGTAGGATCTTGTTTGTGCTCCTCGGTAACGTGCCCTGACTCGGGGAGAAGGATGTGACACGCTGAATTGGAGGGAATTGGCTTCAGTGAAGTAGCTGAGGGCAGAGTTTGGTGTGTAATAATGTGTGAGCATCCTTGTGAAAAACAGAGAGACCTAAGCAAGGTCTCTGGTTTCAAGGATAGGTCCTTGAGGATCTGTTTCGAAGAAAAACCAGCCCTGTGCAATTCCCGGCCCAGTTTGGTGTGTTTAGCTAAGTCAGCTGAGCTTCTGGAAAGCAAGTGTCAGGGCGCTTCCTTCCTCAGGTGTGCCTGGACATGGATGCGTCTAGACCCAAACGGGCCTTTAAGGGCAACCCTTCAAGTAGAGAGCCTACATTTTTTAAAAAAGCCAAACCAGCATGTCCAACCCTATGTGCATCGAGGTTTTCCTTGAATGTGTACAGACGGAAGGGGAGGGGGAGGCCGTTCTGACGGTAACTGAGGGCAGGGATGCTGAACTCGGTACTTTCCTGCCTGGCTGTATCTGTCTCTCTCCAGCGAGGGGGAGTGGGATTTTTACTGGTGTGATGTTAGCTGGCTTCGGGAGAATTTTGACCATACCTACATGGATGAACACGTTCGTATCTGCCACTTCCGCAACCACTATGAGGTAAGAAACTATGTAGGGTGGGATGAAACCAGAATGGCTTGCGGGGACGGTGACAGATAGTCAGTGAGTTTCCGTGCAAAGTTTGCAGGGGAAAATACCTTGCACTGTTCTCCGCCCACACAGTGAATTCCTTCTTGGCTGCTAGGCAAATGCCTCTTCAGACTCGATTGATGCTTGTCCTATCTTGGGAAACCAAAAAGGTTGCCTTGTTCAGGACTGCTGCATGAGGTTTATCCTATTCCAAGACAGATAAATCTCATGAAGGCTGAGCAAGTCTCTCTCAGAAGTCCAGGATCCTCCTGCATATGCTACATGGACGACAGGCAAGAGGAGACGGGACAGTCACCTCGCTGGGGTCCTCTAACCCTGGTTGTCTTCTGACCTAGAGCGGGAGGCTGGACCCGATGACCTGCGAGGTCCCTTCCAGCCCCTTGCAATCTATGAATCTATGACTGTTTTAGGAAACCAAGTTATAACCCCAGTTATACCCAACACAGGTAAAGCATCCGCTAAAGAGCCCTCTGCACTACGGGGACGTGCGTTTTACATGTATCTAAGGACAACTGCATTGCAGCCAGGCGTTCTGCGTAGGCAGACGCTAGCACTTGGGCTCTTGGAGATCAGCATAGCACCTGGGCTAAAAGACACCAGGCCAGGAATAACTGTGGGCCCTAAGATGGGCTCCTTTTATCTTTTCCAGGTTTTTTCAGAGAATAAAAAGAAAATTAATTCATACATTCGCCTCTACAAAGAGGGAAAGACTCTCCAGCTGTTCCCTTAGTTATCTTCTGCAGAGAGCCATTTTCAA